TGATATGATCTTGGTCTCATCCAGCTGTGCAGAGAGGAAACCTTCATCTGAGGAAACACAAGAATAAACCAGATTTATTCAGTGGGAACAGTTTCAAATAATGATGACATGAAATGAAGTCTACTGACCTGAGACATCAACATGAACAGACTTTGAGTTTTTATCTGTACTCGTGCAGGTGTATGTGCCGCTGTGCTCCTCTCTCACTGATCTGATGAACAGGTAGGCCATCTGAACAGCGAAATGTGAGTCATTTTTAATGCACATCTGGAAGAAAAAAAAACCCATAATAATGATCATTTGCAGGATGATTATCAGTGAAGTACTTTGTGTCTCAGACTGAGGAATATTAAAGAGGTCGGTCAGTTTTCAGACAAACATAACAAGAAAGTTTAAGGAAACTCTCCCTGATTACAGGACATTACTGTACCTCCTCCTCCTTCTCTGGTTTACATGAAAATGTCCTGTCATGGAGCTGTTTTCCTCCTTTCTCCCACACAGGTGATCTCAGACCGTATCCTTTTACTCTGCAGCGAAGCAGCAGAGACTGACCTTTGCTCAGGGTGACAGTAGATACCTCATCTTCGTTCATTACACTTCTCTGTAAGTCTGAAACACACATCAGGGCCTCAAATCAAAAATATATTTTTCAGGCAGAATTTGTCATTTGCTTCTCTGAGATTAGTTGGTGAATGTCTGGATAAACATTGTTTTTTCAAGTATTTGAACCAAATTTTACTCAAATTAACTACTGTAATAATTTATGGATAAATTCATTATGGATGTATTAAATTTGTTATGAATGAATTTAAATCCAGTTACCGTAGTCATACAGTTGGGAGCACTCTTGTCCTTCAGCATTGGTTGCACAGCACATCATTCCTCTATTATAATATTCACTGCTTGATATTGTGCTCTCTGTCTTTCTGTCGCTTCCCTTTAAACTCTGTTCATGCTTGTTACTGTTCAAACAGAGAAAAAAAAATGTTAGTGCTGTAAAATTATATTTTCAGAGCGCTGTGTCTTTGACATACATTATTATCAAAGCTTGTCTAATACCCATCTATCCCAACCACCCACCAAAATAAAGCATCTCTCCAAATGATTCAGTCTAAAATCAGACATTAAGAAGTGCTGCTATTCTAAAGTTTGCATACAAATGTAAAGGACAACATCTTACCCAGACCATTTGATTGTGGGTTTGGGGAAACCCTCAGAGACACACTTAAAAAGTGGGGAAGTATCTGGCACGTCAACACCATCGAGCATCAGCTGTGGTTTTGTTGGACGTTCTAAACAACATGAAAGAAAATTTAAATTCATTGTATTATCACTAATTTATGGTCAAACAGAGGTTGTTTGAGTATTATAGAAGAAAGAAGGTGAGAAGCTGTTACTCACTCATTACTACATGAAGAATCACAGTCTTGGAAATGGTGGCATTGTTGGATTCACAGGTCAGAGTGTACTCCCCTGAATCTGTCTCAGAAAGCGGTGATGTGACCATGGACTGACTCCCATTTCTGCTGAGGTTAAAGGAAACATCTCAGTTTAAATACATAGAAATATAAAGCACACAAACAGAAACACAGACGGTCACTTACGCTGTCATTAGTCGGTCTTCTCCTCTGATCCAGTGGCAGACAGGAAATCCAGAGAGGAACTCCGGGGAGATGATGAGTTTCTTACCCACTGCTAACACTTTGCTGATAGGACCAGATGGATTCAGATAATCAGCTGGTGTCAAACATGCTGCCTGAAAAACAAGAGCCAACAGTTAATGCTCCTTCATTAAGCAGCAGTAAAATCATCACTGGTGGCAAGATCTGAATTAGAGTTTCCCAAAAATTGATTTCCTGATTAAATGTTTGCTTTAAAAAAATAAATAAATAAAAATAAAACAAACGAAGCTTATATTTTGTAACTGAACTAAATTTGTACTAAAACCTCTTCAAAATGTATTAGAATGACACAAAGTGATTACAGGAAATTACAGAAAGAGCAGCTAGCACTATTTCCCTCTCTGTTTTGCCACCTCCTGTTGCAGTGTACTTTTTGCTGCCCTGTACACCATAAACCACACTGCATTTTGTGAAGGTACGCAGGAGCTACACAAACATTAAAGAGTCAATGCACAGCATGAAAATGGGTGTTCACTTCTGTCTTATCTAGACTATAGGTGTGTTACTTACCCAGATATGTATATGTGCAATTAATGCATATTTCAGACTGGTCCAGAGGGGTTTATTAAAGAATAATAGTTCATTTTATGTCATCTCAGAACTATTCCCTGCTTTAAGGCTTCATTGTCAGTGTCACTTTCAGTTATCTGATCAGAGTTTAGTTAAAACAGCTCTTACCTCATGACTGGGTACACAGGCTGGAGTCTCCACGTCATCAGAGCAGAGCGCTACAACAGCACACAGCAGCAGAACAGCTGGAGAGATAGAAAACTGAATCTTTAGTTCAAACTATTTTTGAAAAATCAAAATTAAATATATATACACCAGTGGGAAAAATCAAAACCAAATAAAGCAACATAATTGCATCATTAAGAAGAAATTATTGCTCTTCTAAATCAGACTGTATTTATGAACTACAGCTGTGTCATTAACAAAACGCTTCATAACTCAACATTTAGCTCTGGCCAACTACAAAAACCTTGACTGCATGTCTGTGATTACCTTCGATTGTGCAGGAATGAATAACTCACTCACCTGCAATCATGTTTCTCTGCCTCCAAGTTTTCATTCTCGTATTCTGAAAGGAAATTTTGTTGCTGCAACAGCGCCACCTATATGGGAATTTCATCCCAAGGAAATAAAAAAGGCTAGTCACTATGATGGTGGAAAAATACGACAAGAAATGAGGATATTGCGCCCCAGACGGGCAGGATTTGATGAAGAAGTCCTCGCACACTCACAGAGCATCAGCAGGATCCACGAACAAGACAAAACAGTTAATAATTTCTTAATAATATCAAAGGAAAAACAAACACAAGTAATTAATCACAGCTGGATCATAACGGGACGCTTTCTCCATACATCTAATAGATAAACTAGCTTCACAGACGGAATACAGCATCTCTAACTAGAAACACAGGAAAAGAGCAAAGATGAGTACAAACAAGGTTGAAACGTTGAAAGTATCTGCTCACCCAAAGCTGGCTGCCTAATCTGGAAAAGTCTGCCTCACTGCCCCACCTAAGTCGAAATGGTACAGTTTCGCTTTCTGTTATTTGTTTTTCTCAATCCTTTTGTAGAAATCGACGACTAGGAAGTGGCTTTACGACATCATCTTTCACACATTTTGATGCGAAGTACTTTGACTTGAATAAAAGTCACTTCTTACCTTCTCATAAAAGTTAGATTGCTTTTCTCTTGGGACCAAAATAAAATAGACACATATACATGATTAACACAAATATATGATTACAAG